TTGAAGAAATTGAGTGACACAAAGAATGTAGGTAGACAATACAAAGAAATAAAAAAGTCAATTCCTGATCTGAATGATAAATTCAACAAAGTAATAGACACCATTAAAAACAAACAAACAAACAGAAATGTGGCAACTAAAGAATTTAATGAATGAAGTAAAAACTATAATTGAGAGCTTTAACAATAGACTTGGTCAAGCATAAAATTTCTGAAGTTGAAGACATGTCTTTTGAAATAACCCAATCAGAAAGATTAAAAAAAAAAAGAATAAAAAGAATGCAAAAAGTCTATGTGACATATGGGACACCATAAGTGAATACATATTCAAATTTGGGAAGTTCCAGTAGAAAAAGAGATCGAAAAATTCACAGAAACCCTATTTAACAAAATAATAGCTGACAACTTGCCAAGTCTTAGAAAAAATATGGATATCTAGATGCAGGTAGTCCAAAGATTCTCAAATAGATTCAACCCCAAAAAAATCATGTCTGAGACATGCTGCATTCAAATCATCAAGAGTCAACAAAGACAGAATTGTAAAAACAGCTGGAGAAAAGTATCATGTCACACATAAGGGAATCTCCATCAGACTAACAACAGACTTCTCAGCAGAAAACTTACAGGTCAGGAGAGATTAGAAAGATATATTCAGAGTGCCAAAAGAAGAAAAAACTGCCAACCAAGAATGTTACACCCAACCAGACTATCCTTCAGAAATAAAGGAAATACAAAGTGTTTACCAAACAAAAACTGTTGAGTTACATTATCACTAGACCAGCCCTGCGAGAAATGCTCAAGGGATTTCTACATCTAGAAGCAAAAGAATAAAATCTACCATTATGAAAATACTCAAAACTATGAAGCTCACTGATAGAGCAGATGCACAAATGGGAAAGAAAAAAGAATCAAATTTAATTACTACAGATAACCACCAAATGGCAAAGATAAGCAATAAAAGAGAAAGAAAAGAAACATGAAACAATAACAAACAACTTGACAAAATGACAGCAGTAAGTTCTCATCTATCAGTAAAAATCTTGAAGGTAAATAATTTAAATTCCTCAATTAAAATATATAGACGAGTTGAACAGCTGAAAAACAAGGCCCAACCTATATTCTGCCTAAAGAAACCATTTAACCAGTAAGAACACAAATAGAAAGTAAAGAGATAGAAAAGGAAAATCCATACAAATAAATACCATGAAGGAGCAGCTGTACTTATATCAGCCAAAATAAACTTTAAGTCAGTAAGCATAAAAAGAAATAAAGAGGGGTCATTATATAATTATAAAAGGATCAATTAAGCAAGAAGACATAACAACTTTAAATATATATGCACCAATATCAGAGCACGTAGGTATATAAAGAAAATTTTAGAGCTAAAGAGAGAGATTGATCCCAATACAAGAATAGTTGGGGACTTGAGTACTACACTTTCAGTGTTAAACAGATTCATCTCAACAAAGAAACATCATATTTATACTGCATTGTAGACCTAACAGACATTTACAGAACATTTTATTAAACAGCAGTAGAATGCACATTGGACTATAGTCTTCTTTTGTCTTGTCAGCACATGGAACATTCTCCAGGACACATCATATATTGGGCTACAAAAGAAATCTCAACAAATATTTAAAAATGGAAATTATATCCAGTGTCTTCTCAGACCACAATGGAATGAAACTAGATTTCAATAACAAGAGAAACATTTAGAAACTGTACAAATACAAACACATTGAATAACATACTCCTGAATGATCATTGGGTCAGTGGATAAATTAAAAAGTAAATATAAAAAGTCTTAAAACAATGGAAACACAACAAACAAAAACGTATGGAATACAGCAAAAACAGTACCCAGAGGGAAGTTTATAACCATAAATGTCTATATCAAAAAAGAAAATATTATTTTTAAAAATAGCCTAATGATACAACGCAGGGAACCAGAAAAGCAAGAACAAACCAAATCCAAAGTTAGTAGAAAAAAATAAATAATAAAGATCAGGGCAGAACTAAATGAAACAGAGGCTAAAATATATAAAAGATTAATGAAAATTTGGTTTTTTGAAAAGATGAACAAGATTGGCAAACCATTGGCTATACTAAGAAAAAAGAGAGAAGATTTAAATAAATAAAATAAGAAATGAAAAAAGATATTATGACAGATATCACAGAAACACAAAAATCATTAGAGGCTGTTATGACTATCTATGCACCAATAAATTAGAAAACTTACAGGAAATGGATTAATTCCCGAACACATATAACCTACCAAGATTGAACCATGAAGAAATAGAAAACTTTAACAGACCAATAGTAAGTAAGAAGATTGAATCAGCAATAAAAAGTCTCCCCACACCCAGAAAAAAAAAAAAAAAAAGCACAAGAGCAGATGGCTGTACTGTCAAATTCTACCAAACTTTTAAAGAATAAACTCCAATTCCTTTTAAACTATTCCCAAAAATTGAAGAGAAAAGAATTATTTCTAATTCATTCTATGAGGCCAAAGTTATACCAAAACAAGACAAGGACAAAACAAAAAAGAAAAGTATAGGTCAGTATCCCCGATGAACATAGATGCAAATATTGTCAACAAAATCATAGCAAAAGAAATCCAACAACACATCAATGAGAAATACATGATAATAAAGTGAGATTTACTTCAGAAACGTAAGGATCATTTAAAATATGCAAATCAATAAAGAAGATACATCACATCAATGAATAGATACAGAAAAAAATTTTATAAAATTCGACATCTCTTGATGATAAAAAGTCTCAACAAGTTAGGTATAGAAAGAAAATACCTCAACATAAGAAAGGCTGTATATGACAAACTCACAGTTATGATACTGAACGGAGAAAAGCTGAAAGTTTTTCTTCTAAGAACTGGAATATGACAAGTATGCCCATTTTCACCACTCTTATTTTCAACATAGTACTGGGAGTTTTTACCAGAGCAATGAAGGACATCCAATTAGGAAAAAAAGAAGACAGATTCTACCTCTGCAAATGACATGATCTTGTATATAGAAAAACCTAAAGACTGCACACACCAAAAACCTCTTAGAGCTAATAAGTGAATTCAGTAAATTTGTAGAATACAAATTCAATATGCAAAAATGGGTAATGTCTCTATATAACAATAACAAACTAGCTGAAATCAAGAAAACAATCCCATTTACATTATCTACAAAAATAAAACAAGGCCTGGCACAGTGGCTCACGCCTGTAATCCCAACACTTTGGGAGGCCAACGAGAGTGGATCATGAAGTCAAGAGATCAAGACCATCCTAGTCAACATGATGAAACCTCATCTCTACTAAAAATACAAAAATTAGCTGGGCATGGTGGCACATACCTGTAGTCTCAGCTACTTAGGAGGCTGAGGCAGGAGAATTGCTTGAACCCAGGAGGCAGAGATTGCCGTGAGCCAAGATCATGCCACTGCACTCCAGCCTGGCAACAGAGCAAGACTCAGTTTTTAAAAAAAATACATAAAAAATAAAGTAAAATACTTATACATAAGTTTAAAAAGATGCAAGATCACTACAATAAAAACTACAAAATACTGATGAAAAACAATTGAAGAGGACAAATAAAATGGAAAGACATTCCATGCTCATGGAATGGAAGTATTAACATTGTTAAAATGACCATACTGCCCAAAGAAATCTATAAATTCAACACAATTTCTATCAAAATACCAATGGCATTCTTCATAGAAATAGGAAAAACAATTCTAAATTCTTCATTAAACCAGAAAAGACTCCAAATATCCAAAGCGATACTGAGCAAAAAGAATAAAGCTGAAGGCATCACACCACCTAATTTCAAAATATACTACAAAGCTATAGCAACCCAAACAACATAGTACTGGAATAAAACACATAGGCCAAAGGAACAGAAGAGAGAACTGGAAATAAGTTCATGTATTTATAGCCAACTGATTTTTGACAAAGGTGCCAAGAATATGCATTGGAGAAAGGACACCCTCATCACTAAATGGTGTTGGGAAAACTGGATATTCACATGCAATAGAATAAAACTTGACCTCTATCTCTCATCATATACAAAAATCAAGTCAAGATGAAGACTTAAATGTAAGACCTGAAACTATAAAACTAGTAGAAGAAAACATAGCTAAAATACTTCTGAACATAGGTCTAGGCAAAGATTTTATGGGTAAGACTTAACGGCACAGGCAAGAAAAACAAAAATAGAATACACCAAACTAAAAAGGTGCACAGCAAAGTAAATAATCAATAGAGTAAAGAAATAACCTGTGGAATTGGAAAAAATATTTGCATAGTATTCATCCAATAATGGACTAATATCCACAATGTAAAAGAAACTCTAAAGATTCAACAGCAGAAAAATCAAATATTTCAATTAATAAACAAGCAAAGGATCTGAATAGACATTTTTCAAAAAAATTTATACAAATGGCCAATAAATGTATGAGAAAATGATCCACATCACTAATCATAAGGGAAATGCAAATCAAAACTGCAATAAGATAACACCTCATCCTGGTCAGAATAGCTATCATCAAAAAGATTTTAAAAAAATATTGATGAAGGCGTAGAGAAAAGGGAATTCTTATATACCCTTGGTTGGAATGTAAATTAGTACAGCCATTATGGGAAACAGTCCAGAGGTTTCTCAAGAAATTCACAACACAACTACCATATAATCCCACAATCTCTCTACTGGGTATTTATCCAAAGAAAAGAAAATCAGTATATCAAAGTGATACCTATACCTCATATTTATTGCAGCTCTATTAACAATAGTCAAGATATGGAATCAACCTAAATGTTCATCAACATATGAATACATAAAGAAAATGTGGTCTATACACAACAGAATACTATTCAGCCATAAAAATGGAATCTTGTCATTCACATCAACACAGATAAGCCTGCAGGACATTCTATTAAGTGAAATAAATCAGACACTGAAAGATACTGAATATTACCACTCATATGTTTGAATTTTTAAAAATCTTGAGCTCATAGAAGTAAGGAATAGAATTGTGGTTATTAGAGGCTGGGAAGGGTGAGGGTAGGAGAGGATAGGGAGAAGTTGGTTAATAGATACAAAATTGTAGCTAGATTGGAGGAATGAGTTCTAGTGTTCTGTAACACTGAAGGGTGAATTTGGTTGATAATAGTTTACATTTTTCAAAAAGCTAGAACAGAAGACTTTGAATATTCACAACACAAAGAAGTTATAAATGTTTGAGGTAAAGGATGTACTGATTACCCTGATTTGATTGCTATACATTGTACACATGTAATAAAATATCACTCTGAATTCCATAAATACGTACCATTACTGCACACCAACTAAAAAATACTGAAGTCAATCAGAGGTTGTGACTCTCCACCTAAAGAGTTGATAATATTTGTTAAAAATTGGTGCATATACAGAAGATTCATATTTTTTAAAAATCAACACATTTTGAAGTGTAGACCAGCAGGGAGAAAACACACATAAGAACCTCAGCTAGGATTTTTTTTAAACATTTAAGATATGAATTTTAAAGTTTATATAAAGCCTTTTTTTTTAAAAGGTAAGATTTCATCAACACTCTCTTTTAGTAAATTTCAATGTATTATTTATACATTGAAAAGTCATAGGCTATTTTGTTCTTCTGTGTCCTATCATATAAGATTGTTTTAGAGAGAAACTTGATAAAAATCAAATGTGGCTGGGCAACAAATGAATTCATTACATTGAAGATAAATACATGTCTATATTTTAGCATAGATAATTTAAACCAAACATGACAGTATGAAAATTAACATTTGTATTTTTCTCACTACAGAGAATACTGCACAGTAGTATTCTCAAGTCTTATTTCCCAGTTACAATAACATGAATAGATATTGATGTAGCCTATTATCTCAGCAATAATGCATATTACAACAAGCGATTACTTATTAGCAGTAAAATGTTTCTCCAGGGCTTAATTTAGAATGCCTGAAATGAAATAACAAAATCTCAGTCTTGGAAGGGATCCTCTGTATAGTTATTGTTTAGGGAAATTTTTATTGCTTCACAACAGTTTAAGATCCTTAATTGGCTAGGTCTTTGAAATGAAAGCATGTGGTGAAGTACCAAGGTCTTGGACAGCTAACGTGAATGCACATATGCAGTACTGTAAACCAGGCTTCTTGGAATTATTGGTAGTTTTGATTCAGATGTAGTAGTGAGTATCTCTTTCTTGCTCAGTGATTGCTCTAAGACTTCTGAATAGCCTGCTGCCTTAGCAGCTTTCACTCATGCCTCAGGATTCTATGTGCAGATTGAAATTTGGGCATGGATAGGTTAATCCACTCAACTCTACTCTTGCATAATCAGAATGCAGTCAAATGTCAATTTGGGTGGACTGAGTTGAGGCTGGGTTGAGATGCAAAACCTGGCTGATTCAATGCATGACAGCAAGTTGTCCTAGAAAATATCACTACTGGGTGAGCTAAATCTACATTAGATTTGACAAGCACCAGAGAAGTGTGATTCTGCAAGTTCTTATGATACAAAGGTAAGCTTCCAGTTTTGAAAATACAGAGACAAGGAGGAGCTCAGGTATTCAGGACTAAGATAAGGATGCAGGTCTGAAACTTCTGAGCCACAAGGGAAATCCTGATCAAAAAGCATATGGTAAAGAATACATTTACCAGATACAGGGGTGTTATGTCAGAGTAGGTGCTAGCACAGGGATGACTCGATCCTAAGCCCCCAAACTGATACCTAAAGTTTTCCTATATTTTCCCTGACCAGAAATGCAATTGATCATGGAGCTTGAGACAGAGCTGAGTCTCCAGGTAGTCACTATATGGTCTCAGCTGTGGAAAAGGAAGGCTTTAGGAGCAGGGAATTTCCTGGTCATTATACCCTTCTACAGTTCAGGGCCTTTTTTGTGGACTTCTTTATCCTTTTCCAAGCAGTTTAATTTTTAGAAATTGATCGCAATCCAGAGGCAGTTTTTGCCTTGATTACCAGGTATCATTTTTGTGACCACTAATGGATGCCCAGAGCTGGAGCGGATACCTAGGTATCCTCTTCCAGGCATGGCTGAAGTTATGCCTAGGTCTTACAGATGGCCCAGGGCCCTGGGTCCTTCTTAGCTTCCTTTAAATCTGCTGACTTAGGACTGAGTAATGGCTGGATGTGTCCATGATTGAACTAAAATCTCCACCCTTCCAAAACACGAAAATAAATTTCCTTAATGGAGCTGCTGGCTAGAGGAAAAGCATCTATAGACTTTTGACTTGTATTTCTATCCAAAACTTTTTTCTGTGATTCCAAATTCCAGGCTCTCAGTAAATTGCTTAATTATTCGGAAAGGTGCTGAGCCAGCAGCAGGTGGCCTTACTCAGCCCAGATCTAACCACACTGTGGTGGTATGTTGCCCCCATTTCCTAAGCAAGTCTACTGAAATGTAGACCACTTACTCAGCTAAACACATCTCTTGTGTTCAGCCTCCTTAGTGCAGAGTATCTGGATTGTGCTTAGAAAGTAAAAGTATAGGAAAGCGAGGAGAGCCCGGAACTCAATGGCTAGACACATGCAACACAAAAGGCATGATCTTGTGGGCAGATGAGGATGAGCATCTAACATTGCAGGTGAAGAGAAATCCAGCAAAAGAGCAGATCTAATGTTCAGCTGATAGATACAAATAGCAGGAAGTCAAAAGTAGCACAGTGTAGGGGGAAAAGAGTGATCTTTAGGTTTTTGCAAACTCTAAAAAAAATTTTAATACTTCCATTGATTATCCATTCATTCATCCACCATCGTGTGTGTGTGTGTGTGTGTGTGTGTGTGTGTGTGTGTGTTTCTGAGATGGATTCTCATGTCTCTCTGTTGCCTGGGCTGGAGCGCAGTGGCATGATCTCAGCTCACTGCAACCTCTGCCTACTGGGTTCAAGTGATTCTCCTGCCTCAGCCTCCTGAGTAGCTGGGACTACAGGTGCATGCCACCATGCCCAGCTAATTTCATCCATCCAATATTTACTACAACCTATTGTGTGCTCCAGTGTTGTCCTAGACATATAACAAGTTCAACTCTGTCAGAGGAGCCTGGTTTACTAGGCTGAGGTCAGAATAGGATGACATGAAGAAGCTGCCATTTGTTAAGTATCTATTATGTGCTAGGCACCTTCATATTGAGGACTTAATTTAACCGTCAAAACAATCCTGGGGATATTATTATCTCCAGTTCTGAAAAACAGCAAGGAAAACATGTTTCATGAACGCAGAATAAAGAGGAATCAAACTAGAGAAAAGACAGGCATTTGTGTGACCTACATAAGGAACAACTTCTGAGTCTCTGTTTACTTACCTGTGAAACCTGTCTCGGAGGATTAGTTGTAAAGAGGAGATTGCATTAAGTAGCAAATATGCCAGTCTTTCCATGGGGTTTCACACCTGGGAAGGGTTGGTAAGTGTATGTCTTCTAAATGCTCATCAGAAGTCTTACAGGAGGATACCCAGGCAGGTTGGCAGAGTGCAGGAATGAGAGCCTTGGCAGGTTGACATACAGCAATCGCTGGCTGGAAAGTGCTAGCACGGGACATCGTAGCCATCAGTAACATGGCTTCAGAAATCAAGAGCTCCGTCCCCAATCCCAAGGCACCTGGAAAACCAAGGCATAATTGATAGTAGGAATTAATAAAACATACAACTTCACATACAGATGCACTTATTCAAGGCAGGAGTGAGTGGAAACCAGTAAATTAGTCATGAGCACAAAGCAGAAGCCGGTCACACCATCTGAGGTTAGGGAAGAACTGGTCAGGTGACAAGAGCACAGCTGCATTTCAGCAGGACCTGTAGCATCAGGCCCCCAATCCCCCGCAACGAGAAAGTCATTGTCAGAAGGCATTGCTTCCGCATTCTCATCTTCAGGAGTTATGACTCTCAGTTCACCTGTCTGACTTGCTTCTCAGATCCCAAGGGCTGACCCTCTGTGTCCCTGAAGTTGTCTTCTCCCAGCTGATGTCAGCTTGGTTCATAGTAAGCTCACTGGGTGCTGAGTCATCCAATGTCAAGGGCCCTTTGATCTGCCCACCAGATCTGGGGAAGGCTGAGTCACCAGACCCAGGGAAGGCTGTGTCTGCCAGTGGAATAAGTGGTCCCAGATGGGGAAGGAAGTGACTGCAGACACAGAGCACCAGGCATTTCCTTCAGGGACCTCCCACCCTCCCACAGTTCCTGTTGCTGTCCTCTCTCTCTCTCTCTCTCTCTCTTTCTCTCTCAAGTTATGGATATAGTGTAAAGGTACCTTTACAATATTGCTCCATAGGAGAAACTCTGCTTGGCTTCTGAATGAGACAGAATTGCTGACTGTTTCCCTCTCATGAGTGAATGAAGGTGAGTGCAGCATAGAACTTAAAAATAGGACTTTCTCTGACTCTTGCTCACTAATTATAGCATAATTGAAGAGCAGGGAAGAAAGTTTGTTTTGTTTCCACATAATTCATGTAATAGGGTCTGGATTACATGACAGAATTGTCACATTTCTCCTGGTTTGAACCCGTACCCAGAATCTATCCTGAGAAACTTTCTTCTTTGAACACCCAGCAGGTTTGCACTAATTTGTTGGTTGAACCTTTGGCCACAAAGCTTCAGCAGAAAAGGTTTTTAACTATGAGAACAGAATGAAATATGCATGTAGAGAAGAGAATGTGTCAATAACAGAATATTACAGTGAGTAGATCCAGGGAGAGAAATTATTAAAATGTTATAAAGATTCCATTTTTCATTTACAGCATCATATGCCATAACTCTGAGTTTAAGTTATTTCACTCAATCATAATTTAGATAAAACTTTTCCCTGATCAGCTCTGTAACTAACAATTTCTTCCTTCTCAGAACTCCCGCAGGCCCTCTTACATTTCTCTCTTATCACAGTCATTACTTTGTACTGGGGTAAATCCAGGTTCTGTGGGGCTCTAAGCTTAAACAATTTTGGGGAATCTCTTTAGGGAAAATAATTCAAAGTGATTAATACAAAATTAGGCATGAAAATGAAAATTTATTTAGAATTTGGAAAATATCTGTAGTTCTAGCTTGTAAGGAGGCTGGGGTGGGAGGATCACTTGAGCCGAGGAGTTCAAGGCTGAAGTGAGCTGTGATTGCACCACGGCACTTTAGCCTGGGCAACAGAGTGAGATTCTGTTTCTAAAAAACAACAACAGAAAAGAAATTACAATGAAGTCACGTTTTGAAAAGCTAACAGATACAAGAGACATTCCATAATCTAAACAAATAACATTTGTATTACGTCAACTACCTACCACAGTTACTTAATTGTAAGATTTTCTGTACTGAACATGGAAAGATAGTTCAGTCTTCTATAATGGTCATAATTTTTTACTGTTGATAATTGGAAAAAATAAAACATACAACTTTACATATTCTTCAAAATACTTCTACAGGTTTGTGCCCTAGAAATCCATACATTCTATTTTGTGTGATTACCAACAAAAAGGAAAAAAACAGATAGTGCATGTATAATTGGAACTGCTCATGCTGTTATTGAAAGTATTCCTAAATTCAGAGAATTGTTTGTTTGTTTGTTTGTTTTCAGAGAATTGTTTTGACCAGGCACTGATGGGAACGGAATCTACTGTTCAGTTTTATATGGCTGATTAGAAGAATATTCCACAGTCTAGCTCCTGGCTCTATATACTTCAAACCTTGCATCTCTTCCAGCACTCACTTACTTCCTGTGCTGGGTGCAATAATTTTGTTTGAAAGCAAAATATCTGTGAGCCCCAGATATGTGTTTCAATTTCAATAAGCTCAACTGAATGTGTCTTCAATACTTTGCCTTTTTTGGACCTCAAAAATGGCCTTGGTCATTCTAACAGTGGGGAAAGTCAGAGGAAAAAGAAACAGCAGTTTAACTAATTGAAATTTTGTTTTAATTTTCACTTTTGCAAACTTTCCCAGAATATATGGCCATGTAAGTATATGTATAGGGTATCTCCCAGAGTGTTGGAAGGGGCCCACGTTAAGTGAGGGGCACTGATGCTTAAGTTTCATTTGCTTCATGGAAAATCTCCCTTTGCTTTTACTTTCTATTATAATAATTTATGTACTCATCTAATTATGCCTACATTTGAGAGCATTTTTACCTTTCCAGTTCCAGACAGAGTTCTTTTTATGTGGAAGCTACTCAGTAGATTCTGTTGCATTAACTAAGAAATTCATATACATTAAGAAGCAAGTTGCAGTAACTCGGTCTCTCTGTCCACATGACTGAGTGTGCAGAGGAATTCCAGGCTGTCCACTTCAAGGAAAATTACAATTTTGTTTCTTAGAGAGGGCACCAGTCAGTAGGTTTGGTCTTGAGTTTTTGTGGAATCCCAGGGTTTTTCTTTCCACCAGTCTCAAGAAGGTCAGAGACTTCTGGGTGAGGATTTCTGTAAGAATCATAAATTTATTTGTTTAAGTAAGACTACTAGTATTTTGTCACTATGATTTAGAATAATAATTATAGGAAGAGATTGGTTAAATTATGTTACAGCTATAAAATGGAATACATTATTAAAATGCATGCAATGGAATATTTCTTTTGAAATGCAAAAGCATTTGTAGTATCCCATCAAGTGGATAATAATGCTCTACTTCAAAACTCTCACCAGTTCAAACCTTTACAAGAAGTTTGTTGTTCTTCCAGTGTGCCTGTTCTAGAACACACGACATTTACTCTTCTGCAATTTCAGTGGTACTGCCACCCACTCACCTCCCCACTCTCTACTTCCCTCCTATCTAGGTTGGATTCCATGGCCTATTACTTCAACTATTCTCTTGCAAATACTCTAAACTCCCTTGGCCCCTCCTTGTACTTTTGCTCTTTTGAAAGCATCTACTTTATTGCAGTAAAATACACATATAAAATTTCCCACCATAAGCATTTTCAAGTGCACAGTTTAGTGGTATGAAGTACATCCACGTTGTACTTGGTGGCAATCATCACTACCATCTACTTCCTGAACTCTTTGCATCTTGCAAAATTGAAACTCTATACCTATTATTTTTTAAAATTTCAACTTGTATTCTAGATTCAGAGAGTACATGTGCAGGTTTGTTACAAGGGTATATTTCATAATGCTGGGGTTTGGGGTAGGAATTTACCCATCACCCAAGTAATGAGCATAATATTCAATATGTAGTTTTTCAGCTCTTGCCTCCCTCCTTCCTACTCTCTCCTGTAGTGACCAATGTCTATTGTTCCCACCTTTATGTCCATGTATACACAACGTTCAGCTCTCACTTATAAGTGAGAACATGTGGTATTTGGTTTTCTGTTTGCTTTAATTTGCTTAGGATAATGGCCTCTGACTACATCCATGTTGCTGCAAAGGATATGATTTCATTCTTTTTTGTGGCTGGGTAGTATTCCATGGTGTATATGTAAATTTTCTTTATTGAATTTACCATTGATAGGCACCTATTGATTTTGTGCCTTTGTTATTGTAAACAGTGCCTTGATAAACATAGAAGTGTATGTGCTTTTTTGGTAGAACAATTTATTTTCCTTTGGGTATATACCCAGTAATGGGATTGCCAAGTCAAATGGTAGTTCTCTTTTCTGCTCTTTGAGAAATCTTAAACTGCTTTCCACAGTGGCTGAACTAACTTTTCTTCCTACCAACAGTAGTGTATAAGTGTTCTCTTTTCTCCACAGCCTTGCCAACTTGTTATTTTTTAATCATAGCCAGTCTGACTGGTGTGAAATGGTATCTTACTATAGTTTTGATTTGCACATTTCTAATTAATGATGTTGAACATTTTTTGTGTGTTTATTGGCTGCTTGTGTGTCTTTTAAGAGGTGTCTGTTCATATAAACCCTTTTTCTTCAGGTCTTCGCTGAAACATGGGCACTCATGGGAAGTGCTTTCTGCCTCCCAGGGTCAGGTATGGTGCTTTTCTGATGTGTCTCCATAACACCACTCACTCCTATGTAACATTTGTCATGCAGTTCTGAAATTGCCACTCTTTAGGTCTGTCCTTCCAGCTAGTCAATATGCTCTTCAAAGACAGGGATTGGGTTATGTTCCGGCACCTGGCACAGCAATTTTTTTTTCAAAACAGTTTCGCTCTTGTTGCCTAGGCTGGAGTGCAATGGTGCAATCTCAGCTCACTGCCACCTCCGCCTCCTGCGTTCAAGCGATTCTCCTGCCTCAGCCTCCCGAGTAGCTGGGGTTGTAGGAACCTGCCACCACACCCAGCTATATATTTTTTGTATTTTTAGTAGACATGGGGTTTCACCATGTTGGCTAGGCTGGTCTTGAACTCCTGGCCTCAGGTCATCCACCCGCCTTGGCCTCCCAAAATGGTGGTATTACAGATGTGAATTACCTTGCCTGACCTGGCACAACAACTGACACATAGAGGGCACTTGGTCAGTAGGTACCGAATAAATGACAACTGAAACAGTGTGAATAAATGAATGTAGAAAGGTCCAATAAGACCGCTGGATCATGGGCAGCCTAAAGAGGCATGGTTATTCAGTTTGCTAAGTCTCAAGTCTACCAAAGAAGAGTATGTGTTTGGTGCAGGAATCAAGGGAGTTATAGGGAAGACTTGGAGGCCTTGGTATCCCAGTGGAGTTGCTTTGAGCAAGGTTAAGTCAAAGGCAGGTTAAGGATATGGCAGGGCAAAAACATCAGGTAGCCAGAGTTTGCTGGAAATTCCAGAATGTCTTTTCTGGTGATTTCCCCAACCGCTGCTGCGGCAGTCTCTTATTTACTCGGATTCAAACACCAAATTCCCTCCTACTGCTTTTCATCCTTTTGACAACACCAGCTCTCTAGATATCTTTGCTCCTAATTTAAATTTTTTTTTTTTTTTTTTGTAGAGACCGAGATCTCTCTATGGTGTTGCCCAGGCTGGTCTTGAACTCCTAGCCTCAAGTGATCTTCCTGCCTCAGCCTCCCAAAGTGCTGGATTACAGGCGTAAGCCACTTCCAGACATCTTATCTGTGAAACTTTAGGCGCTGATTGTTGCGGAAAGAGCCATGAACTTCAGGATGTTCTCAGAGACTGGCATTATGGCCCATAAGAAGCTACCCACTCAGCTTCTAGTCAGTTAGGCGTGGACTTCATCAGTCACAAAACGAAGACTCAGAGAGCCTCCCAGGAGGACACATAATCAGCCTGAGAGGCATGGAGGTGTTAAAGAGGGAAGTGCCTGCTAGAATTTCAGTGGGTTGGATATGCTCTTTAATGATGCACAAATCATAGGTATACATTTTCTGACAATTGGAATCTATTATTACTCTCGAACCAGCTGTTCTCCAGGCTGTTTCCTGTATTGGAAGGGATATTTTGAGTTTATATGTTTTCAATACTACATCCTCAGATATCTACACTGATACTAATAAAGGGACTCATTTCTCCTACAAGAACCCCTATGTGACAAAAGTATGTTTGGGTATTGCCTAATGCACGCATAATAAATATATACAGCCATAAAACAGAGCAAAAGTCCTGGTAAGCCTGTTATTTGCAGTAATTGTAGATTGTGAATGGACATTTTAAAGAGAAGCTTACAAGTTAGTTGTACTTTCTGGTAGTAATTACCTCCCACAAACATGACTCACTTCAGCAGTTTAAATGCAAGAATTGGGTGTCCCAAAATCAACAGTTTTATAAATAAATCTCTGAATCATGAACTGAATGCACAAATGTTTAAATATTTCTCCTCCTTGATCTCAAAGATAGCTTTAGATTTAAGATATTGCACATATCTTAAATACCTTAGGGAAAAAATAATAACAAAAAAAGGAAAAAGGTGATGGATGTCTCTCTAAACTGCAGAAAGGCTTTAACTGTGGAAGTGGACCTCCTCTCTGCAGGACTGAACCTTCAGCAACCAGAGTGTTAAGTGGTTGTTTTCTTCAATCCAAGAGGGGAGGCTGCTATCAATCTGTTCTAATGTGGCCCATTTGTTTGTTTTTTAAGTAATACTCACAGGGCAGACTTTTATGGTAATGTAGCAACATTAATGCTTTTGGGTGAGACTCTCCTGCAGTCTCGTGGGTAATAGAACACATAAAGGAAGAAATGTGGCTGTGTCAGCTTGGAATGCAGCAGAAAGAACAATTCATGCCAGAAGGAGATATTCAGTTTTTTGGAATGCTCACTCAAAGACATTGTGTATCTCAATGAACTTGAGCCTTCCAATCAGTGAAGCTTTTTTTTTTTAAACCTGAAAAAAAAAGCACACTCCGAAATTATTAACAGAAACATCATCCACCCCACTAGATTCATTTTTTCGGTCAAGTTCTAAAGTTTTATTTGTGTGTGTTTAAAAAGGGAACTGTATTAGAAGTCTGTTCTATTCTTGTATCCATATTTTTCAAAATTTACAATTAATCACCCACATGGATCTAGGAGTAAAATCTGGAGTCAGAATTCTATCATCTGTGTTTAAAATATGAAATCACATGTCAATCTACCTATGTTTGTCCCTCTGTTCAAAATAGCAATGTGATAGCCAGCTTAGCACTGAATCTTATAGAATGTTCAGTGCTGAAAAAGAACTGCTTCTGCTATTTTGTTTTTCAGTCATTTTCTGAATTTGATGTCTATTTTGTTCCCAGTTATTTTCATATCCTCAGCTGCTGCTATTACATTCCCATCTCTTGGAAGGAGCCAGAGCCAGAGAAATACAGGGTTCCTCTGTGGCCAAGGAAAAAATGCCTGCCAAGAATGCTGAACTTCTGGTGAAGGTCACTAAATACTACAAAACAGACTAAGTACAGTAAATAATAATGTTGGTGCACACAAATGAATAGCCAATTGCAATGGCATTTTGTGGGGAAATCTGATATCATATAATAATACTAGTACATCTAGACATGGAGAAGCTAGTAAAATACCTCCAAAGGGCATGCAGCAATTCCGTGGTTAGACAAGGACCGACCCAAAGCTCAGCGTGTTCCAGAATAATCATCCTAACAAATAACTGCGATCTTTGGTTGCACATATTAGACCCCTCAGCATCACAGGCCAGAAACTTTTAACCTGGATCTCATTAAGTATTTTTTACAGGAGGGAAAAACCTGGCTCATAGAGACCATACCCTTGACTGCAAAATGATCACCTATAACTGACTTTCAGACTCTTAGCATGTCAAAAGATGGGGCAAATTCCTTCCATATAGCTCACTGGAGGTACTTACAGTGCCCAGGATCTTATTTATGGTCTAGGAAAAGTTTGAGTTTTTGGTGGCAAGAAGGGGAGTATAGTTTGGAGGAGATCCATCACACGCCTGTTCTTAAGCCATGTTTTGAATAAGAGTAATTTACTGCTAAGATGAAGCTGCAGGGTACCTTAATAAGCATCTGGGAGAATACAAGTTGCCTTGATGGTGATCAGAAGTGGCTTGGGTGAGGCAGGAGAATACAAACTG